GAAACACCTTTGGAGTGCAAAGGAGAGCAAGAGACTAGTGGAGTGATTGAGATTTGATAATCCAAGATTAAGGACCTCATTAGTGCATATGGAGTAGCAAGTGTGCATCCATCTTTATCATTAGGCTTGTCTTGGTCAAGTGAGAGTTTTTGCTTGTTACTCTTGGTGATCACCATCACCTAGACGGCTTGGTGGTTGGGAGCTTGTTGATCATCCGGCGGAGCTTGTGGATGACCCAAGTCATGTTGTGAGCGGTTATGGGCGATTCACCGTGATAGAGTGTCAAAGAATTGGCCCATAGAGAGCACTTGATCGTTGCGTGGATCAAGGGAGAGCGACATCCTTGCGCGGGTGCTCCAACGAGGACTAGTGGGGAGTGGCGACTGTCCGATACCTCGAGAAAACATCGCCGTGTTCCTTTCCCTCTCTTTATTTTGAGCATTTACATTTGAGCAATTAATTTCATGTCTTTACATTCCTAGAATTGTCATGCTAGAGTAGGATTGGAACCTAGGATGTAAAACTTTTGTACGACAGAGCAATAGAAACACATTCTAGACACAAGGGGTGAAATGGGGTAAGTGTATGGCTTAATTGTTGCAAAAAAATTAGAATTAGCCCAATTCACCCCTCTCTTGAGCATCTTGATCCTTTCAGATCATACATATGAATTAGGTGTGGTGCACACTTATCAAACTTAGCACTAGATAGCTTAGGAATAGCCCTAAGATCGATAGAAGTCAACTTCATTCACAAATAATTTGGAATTGGAAGTAAATAGAGAGTCAAACGACTGACCGAACGCTGGTTTGGTTGTGACCGGACGCAGCTTGGAGAGTCCGGTCAGTTCATTTGGTCGGCAGCAGCAGTCAGAGTGTGATCGGACGCTGGACACTAGTGCTCACCGAACGCGACGCTAGCCGTATCTGTAGCAGCGTGGACAGGCTGTTAACCACGGACCAGACGCTGAACAGAGAAATGACGGGACTCTTGGTGCCAGCGTCCAGTCAACAACAGTAAGGTTCCAGAGAGGGTTTTAATGACCGGATGCGTTCGGTGGGTGCTGATCGAACGCAGGCCAGAGTCCGGTCAGAGCAAACGGCTCTTCTTGACACGCTGACGTATTACACTGATCGGTGCGTTCGGTCACCTTGACCGGAGCATCCGGTCATCCCGATACTTGCTGAGTTGGACCTCAACCGTTAAGTTTTGAATGGGGGGTATAAATACATATCTCACTCGTCCATTTGAGGTCTCTTGCCCATTTGTTCAGCTGAGAAACACCTTTGGAATGCAAAGGAGAGCAAGAGCCTAGTGGGGTGATTGAGATTTTATAATCCAAGATTAAGAACCTTATTAGTGCATAGGGAGTAGCAAGTGTGCATCCATCTTTCTCATTAAGTTTGTCTTGGTCAAGTGAGAGTTTGTGCTTGTTACTCTTGATGATTACCATCACCTAGACGGCTTGGTGGTTGGGAGCTTGGTGATCATCCGGCGGAGCTTGTGGATGATCTAAGTCATGTTGTGAGCGGTTGTGGGCGATTCACCATGACGGAGTATCAAAGAATCAGCCCATAGAGAGCACTTGATCCTTACGTGGATCAAGGGGGAGCTACACCCTTGCGCGAGTGCTCCAACGAGGACTAGTGGGGAGTGAGACTCTCCGATACCTCGGGAAACATCGCCGCGTTCCTTTCCCTCTCTTTATTTTGAGCATTTACATTTGAGCAATTCATTTCATGTCTTTACATTCATAGAATTGCCATGCTAGAGTAGGATTGGAACCTATGATGCAAAACTTTTGTACGGCAGAACAATAGAAACACATTCTAGACACAAGGGGTGAAATGGGCTAAGTGTAGAGCTTAATTATTGCAAAAAATTTAGAATTAGCCCAATTCACCCCTCTCTTAGGCATCTTGATCCTTTCATACCGTACATATGAATCAAGAAGCATCAAGAATCTAAACCAATATAAGATGCGAGGGTGAGTGTAGATTCTCGAATTTAAATGCTTGTTTTTAAAAGCTTCAGAATGAAGATTGGTTTTCGGACGAGCTAGAGAGCTCACTATTTTCGCCATTTGAATCATACAGGTGGGGTTTGTTTGGTGGGGATATGATGTAATGGCATGATAAGAATTAGACAGTGACTCATATATGCGCAATGTTATTTTCCTTTTGATGTGAGGGTGATATGGTCATCAAATAAGTTCATATCCCATTCCAAAGGGCCAAACCTTACAATAGCATGCTCTTCCAACTTTTCTAGTCAATGGAAAATAAAGGAAAAAGTCTTATCTTCTTGAACTATATGTCACTCGAGTCTAACTTTCCTCCTTGAACTCCAAAACCAAGCATATATTAAACACCCCCTCAACTCTCAAAATCAATTAAATCACATACATGCCCTGATTACAAATGGTTTTAAGGCAGCTCCACCCTTTTTTACTTATAAAAAATCTAGTAAATATATAATAAGATTTTTAATCAACGAAAAATGTCTTGAGGCTTCTAAAAAATTCATGAAAAATCTTAGAGATAGATTGAGACACAAGAAGCTGAAATGAGATATTTAGAATTTGTGAAAAATATCTAGAAGCTTCCAAAAATTAGGCTTAGCTGTAGGAAAAATGGAAAATACCCAATAAATTTAGAAAATAAAACGTTATAATCGTGGTCTAGATGTATTTTAGAAAACTTTGTACAACAAAAAAATATGGATACAACTAGCATGAATGCCTTCTACATTAATGTATGTTGTATTCATCAATGTCTAGTAGCATGAATGTCTAGATGTGTTTTAAAAACTTCGCACAACCAAAAAATATGTTGCATTCATGAACGTCTAGTAGAATGAAATGGTTTTCTAGTTCACTAGTTGCATCTCGTGTTGATGTTGTGATAAGTTTCCAACACATTTAGACATCAATCCAAATGTTTTGGGAAATTTCTATTTTCCTAGAGCAAAATATAATTTTTGTAAGCTTCTAGAGATATTTTTCACGGGCTCTAAATATTGTATTTGGGTTTCTTGTGTTCCAATCCATCTTTAGGATTTTTGTCGGTTTAGAAGTTTAGAGATAGTTTTCATGGTTTAGAGCAACTCCAGGAGTCTCTTTATATCTTTTTATATCTTTTCTAGTAGATAGAAATAGAGATCTTTGTGAGAAAATACCCCCCGACAATTTTTTTAATTAAATATCAAAATATAGACATCCTATATTCTAGATTTCTCGTTAGCAAAGATAGAGAGCGAGGTTGAGTCTCTAAAGAACGAACAAGATAGTAGTTGTTGGAGAGTGAAAAGATATAGAGAGCTATTTTTATCCAAATGAATATCCAAATGATGATTTGGAAAGTGAGTTTCGAGATGCTCTTAACCGTTTAAGAATTTTATCGGACGTTTACTGGACTTTTATTAAATACTCCCTCCGTTCTAAATTATAAGTCGCTTTGACTTTTTTGTACATCTAGTTTGCTATGCATCTAGATATAATAATATATCTAGATACATAGCAAAATGGATGAACCAAAAAAGTCAAAGCGACTTATAATTTGGAACGGAGAGAGTAAAAAAGATGAAACCGCCTTAAAAACCACTTCTCAATCAGAAAGGAATATAATTTGAATGGTGTTGACAAGGAGATAAGATGTCCTACACCGTGAAAACATTCTACGTAGATGACAGAAATGCCACCCTTTGGATCCGCCCAACGATTCCAGATTCATTCGAGAATAAGATACTGGGCCCCAGAAAGCAAGGCCCGCTCGTTAATATAGTCCGTACATAGGTGCAAAACTGTGACGGAAGACGATTGACCATACATGGACTTTATCGGGCCTGTTGAACCAATTTAAGTAAAACAGTGACTCAGCTTTTGCTTTACTTTTGACACACAAAGGTCATGCACAACACTGATGATGAATGCATCAAAAGAAACACATTATGTCAACTGCATCCAAAGAAACACTTTATGTCACCTGAGCTATGCCAATATAGGCTTTGTATAATCACCTTCATTACAGCGAAGAAATGTACAGATCTCAAACAAATTTACACTCCATATGGTTTTCATTTATAGCACAAACATGAAAAATAGCTGTAGTAAGGAATATGGGGTGTGGTTGCTATTTTCTTCAGGACAAAGTATTTGACTTCCTAAAGTATTACGGCTGCTGCTATGCTCCTTCAGCCACTAGGTATGGATTATGGAAGCATCGCCAGGTGACTATCACCCGGCAAGCAAGAAGAGCTAAACTTGATCCTGGAGACCATTTCTCCGTTGTCTGCGTCAGGTGATCATTTGATACATCCTCCTCTCATGCCTTTTACCTGAAGAAAAGGTTGTCCATCTCGTCAGATGACGATATATACTCTGAGACGCCAAACGACTCGGAAGCTAGAAAAGATAGATCGGGCATTGCTTAATTCATACCATATAAAGTCAGTCAGTACAGGAGCAACATGGTAGATGCAGCACAATGGTATTTCATAAGCATTTATGTAAATCAAATGATTCAGAACAAAATCTAACTAGCCAGTCACAGATGCATTTTGTAGACCACTCCTCAACCTTCTGAAATACAATAAATTGAGCAGAAGTTTTGCAAAGACTGATATTTTCAACAGAAAAAATGAAAAGCCTAGGAGAATACTGAAGGCGCATTGTTAGCCAAGTTGAACATACAGACCTTGCCAGAAATATACATATTTTGCAGTGTGTTTAGTGCAGTTTTAGAACAGAAGCAAACTAGTACTATTGTAAGTGTTGTATTTTGCACTTGCAGAGTACAGTGTTCAGTAATCATAGCTCATCAGATAGTTAACGCTTGGAGTACTTACATATAAAACATATTAAACAACATACAAGAATTGCAACAGCCACAGGGATTAGGCATACTCTGCATGCATAGTCCAGTAAGGAATCTAAAATGGTTTGACCCCAAATGGCTTAACAATGACAAGAATCATCTGTTAGGAATTTGGGGCCTAATTAATTAGGTGTTCCTTCTAACAAATTTGTCCAACTGAACTTTCAAAATCGATATAAGCCTGAACAACAGGACAAAACACAACAACAACTGCAGACCATGAGCTAACCAGGACAGAATGAAATGGGTAACATGTATCTCAATATATTCCCGTGGCAATATGGAACTGGAAATATACCTGGGAGAAGCCGAGCTGCCAGGGAAACCGGTGAAAACATTGGAGTAAGACTTTGTCAGGTAAGCAAAGTTTGGCACCGGCTGCAATGCAGGCACACGCTCCCCTTTCTTCAGCAACTCCTCCAAATCCAGTCTTTGCAAGGTAAGCACGGCCCCGGTCTCTTTCCAAACAAATGCAAGCAGCCCATCCTGGAGGACAAACAATGAACCAGGCTTTGAGCCAGGGTATCTGAAGCCATACCCATTTGCAATGCCCTCTCCCGCGAAGCCTCTCTCGACATCAACATTTTGGGACTCCCCATCAGTCTGCCATGGAAAAGGCTCTGTTGATGGCTCGCCCATCCTCGCGATAAACATCGAAGACCCATTGGGATGGACAACATAGTGTGTTCCCTCCAACACCTTGGTCGCGATCAGCTGAAGCTCCCCCTCACTGTCCTCCTCGTATGAGAGGAGCAGGAAGAAGAGAGCCTTCTTGGGCTTGCATTCATTGTTTGGCCGCCCTGGCGGCCACCCGAATGTGCCTCCCCACAGGCCAGCGTACTCCCTTCCCGGCACGGGCGCCTGCACCGTGAGCTTGTAGAGCGCGAACCGGTTGTCATGCATGCTCGGCCACGCACGGTAAGTCGACAGCCGCATTCTTGCGCCGCGGAGGCTCAGCCCGACACTCTCACCGTCGTGAAGGAAGTCAGACAATGCGAGATGTTTGGTGTCCACATAGTCAGTCCTGGAATTTGCTGACACTGACCGTGTGACCATCTGGCGCAGGCCGTTCCTGAAATAGCCCGCCACAGCTGAGAGGCTCCTCCGCAGGGGAATCCTGCGCCCACCGTCGGTCGGCGACGGCGTCGTCGCCTTCTTCTTGGCTTCCAGAAGGACGCCCTGGACCTCCGTTGTGCGCACCATGCCCCCGGCGGCCTCCCTGTGCAGGCGCAGCATGGCCTCCCGGCGCTTGGCGAGCAGCGGGAGGTCGTCGTCGGAGCACGCGAAGAGCGGCGCGTCGACGAGGTCGGGCGGCAGCGTGACCCGGCAAGCGGCGACGAGGGAGTCGAGCAGGCGGCGGCGGTCGCCAAAGGAGAGGCGGGCGAAGCGCTGTAGGCTGGAGGAGGAGGAGGAGGAGGAGGAGGAGGAGGCGAGCGGATCCCGGGCGGTGTGCGCCTCGAGGAAGATGACGTTGGCGTGGGGCTGGAGTGAGGCGAGGAGGCCAGGGAAGAGGTGTGCGTGGTGATGGCCGTGGAGGAAGAGGAGCGCGGGGCGGCCGTGGGCGTCGGCGAGGAGCTCGAAGACGGGCGCCCAGAGGAGGCGCGGGGAGAGCTCCTGCGGGATGGCGCGTGCGGCGACGACGGAGAGGAAGCCCGGGACGGCGGCCACGAGGTTGCCGAGCTCCGGGTTCTGGTGCGCCCAGAGTCCCAGCAGCGGCGCGGCGGAGTGGAGGAAGCGGCAGACGGAGAGGGAGTCGCCCGCGGCGGCGGCGCGCCAGGACAGGAGGTGCGCCGGCGACGGCAGCAGGCGGCGGCACTGCGCCAGCCACGCCTTGTCGGCGGAGAGCGCGCGGCGGAGGCGGCGGGACGCGACGGAGAGCGCCAGGAGGTCGCGCGGCCGGAGGTGCGCCGAGATGAGCGCCAGCACGTCCTCCGGGAGCGAGAGGATGAGGTCCGCGCCGTCCCTGGCGACGGCGGCGAGCATCGTGGGGATCGGGGGAGGGGAAGCTGCTCTGCTCGCCTCAGATTTCTTCTTCCTCGCCCACCACGATATTTCCTCCTCGTCGACTCGTCGTCGTCGTCGTGGTGGCGTGGGACCGGTTTAATTAATTAATTAAAAATAAATGAAAAAATATTAATCCGGACTGCATCAGTCTCGTGTCCACTACTTAGGCCTTTTTCAAAGTTGCAAGTTTTTTTACTCTTTCTTTGTCATATCAAATCTAGTGACATATATACAGCAGTAAATGTAGATAAAAAAATAATTAATTATACAGTTTAATTACGAGATGAATTTTTTAGAGTCTAGTTAATCCATAATTAAATAATAATTATCAAATACCAACAAAAATGTGCTACAGTGCCAAATTTTTCTAACTCTTACAATCTATAACAAGGCCTTACTGCAATGTGCTCCACTCCAACATCGAATGCACACACACCACTGAAGCTGCTATCAATAAACCCTGCCTTTGGAATGGGACTTGCTTTCCTTTCACTTTTTGGTCCTTATAAGCCAGGATTTAAACAAAAATTATTTAGCATGTTCGTTTCGTCGTAAAAGATCGTGTATTATTTAATGCTGGCTGGTTTAGTGTGAGAGAAAAATACTATTTCAGCTTATAATCCACGATCCTATACGAGCAAACGAACACGATCATTATTACTAGAGCAAGTCTAGCAGTAAAATCAAGTACTATAATATTTTTTTATTATTCATCGTGTTCGGCCGGTAACATTTCGACCTTATTTTGGCTGATTTCGGTTGATTCAATAGTGTTCTGTAAGAGAGAATAAACTGAAATAAGATGAGACTAGACCAGCTAAACATGTTGAATTATATTGTTCTATTTTTTTTTTATCTATGCTAGTGCTATGATAAAATTTTTATTGTTATATATATGGTACCACTTTTTATCTATGCTATATATTCTCTTTTTTTCCATTTCTTCTCACCTATATTTGTTATCTAGGCAACCACTAGATTTTAGTGTCCAACTTTGTTTTTTTTTTGAGACCGGACCCCTTCTCTCCAGTAAAAATACTGACTAATTTGGTTATCAAACCATTATTAGACTTATGTTCGCTTGAACTTATCATCCAAAATCAACGCTATTTTTCAGCCATAGAAACGTTGTTTTTCTTTCAATAAATCAAGATAAATTAGCATCAAGATGAATCGCAGTTATCAAACCATTATTAGACTTATGTTCGCTTGAACTTATCATCAAAATCAACGCTATTTTTCAACAACATTTACTAAATTCAACGTGGACTAATTATCAAAAACTTTTACTTTGGTGGACTAATTATAAAAAACTTTTGTAATAATAACAATATTTGGTTGTAAATATCTTGATTCAAGAACGAAACATTTACTCCAAAATTACGAAAATTGCTTCACAAAGGCACAAAACGAGCTTTAGTTTTGGAGTAGCTGGCTCCCTAGTATGCAATATCATTCATTTAGAGTCTGACAGCATCAGGTCCGTAGTTATTTTTGTTGCCTTGGATTATAATGTGCTTTTATTGTGTTTCATAGTGAATTATTTGAGTTCTTTGCTCTAAAATGTCTATAGCTGACCATCATTTGACTTGCTCTAATAAATTGTGAAATTAATTGATTATTTCGTTGTTGCAGTTATATTTGTAAGATGGCTCCTTGTCATAGCAAAACTATGTTTTCATGTTCAGTGAAATGCATCTTGGGTTTTTGAACTATTTTCAAGTGATTTTATTCTAAGTTCACTTCATGTCCAATCTTGAACCTATATTTTCACTTTGAATGAACCATTTGCAAAATCGAAGGTCCTAGTCTTCTAGACAATCACTTTGAGAACTTATAGACCCAGATAAAAATACAAGAAAAGTTTAGAGACCTGTGATGCATTTCACTCCTTTATGTTTCATCCCAAGCTAAAGATGTTGCCATGTACCTTTGGATTCAAGCTGGCCCCATATTTGCAATTGTCTTGCTCTTACTTGGTCCTAATATTAATATTCATATTATGAACCATAAAAATGTACTGAAATGATACCAACGCACACATATGGTTCGTTTGCTCCTCCTTTTTGAAAATACATATATTCACATATGTGGTGAACACCTGTTCGCTATGAACAATTTGTTGGATAATACTTCTGATCAATTATTATGCATTTTTTAATATATATAATCTTTAATGCATTCTAAAGTAGCAACATCTACGGAATGAACTTGTTGTCCCGGACGATAACGGTCTTTAGTCCCGGTTACCACGCCGGGACAACGATCCCAGGACTAAAGGTGCCACCTTTAGTCTCGGGTCATCGAGCCGGGACTAAAGAGGGACCTTTAGTCCCGGTTACCAACCGGGACTAAAGGCCCTCCAGCCGAGCAAACGTGACTGCACCCTTTAGTCCCGGTTGGTAATCCCAACCGGGATTAAATGTTCTTTTTCTTTTTCTTTTTTTTGTTTAATTTGTTTTCAGTTCAGTTACACGTATTTGTTTTATATATAATATGTTTTTATGTACATATTCTACGCTGCTAATATAAATACACGCACGCATATAATTACATCTAATTCTCATCTCGAGCGTTATTATATTCGAATAAAGTATGAACCTATATATATTATAGATATATATATGTATATATACAACACTTTTATAATCTTGTTCTCGAAAATAACGATATCAATAAATATTTAATTTACATCATTTATTCCTTAGGATCAAAGTAGAACTCGCCGTTGAGATTTAGCACTTTTTCTAGAAGAAATCCTGCTATTGACTCTTGAACTGCTTTCAGATGGTCTTTTTGCATGATCCTTCGTTTCAACCATTCAGTCTTGCATTTGAAATAAAAGGAAAATTATTAATATATATATATATATCATTCATTTAAAAATAAATAAAAATTGATATATACGTACTTTGAGGACATCTTTAGGAGTTCTTCTTATGCGCAAATGATAAATTCACAAACGTAGTATCCACACAAGTTATTACCGGTTGTCAGCCAAAACACCACTTTGTCTTTGAGAAGAAGATTATTCTCATCATCTCACACGTAAATTGAAGTACGATATAGTAATTAAACACGTGGGAAAGTGTATATAGTACAGCTTACTGGTATTTCAACTACATTAAGTGGTGCCTTGCAATTCTTGCGATGTTGCCGAATAAACTCTTTCCAAACCCTGTGCGACCAATAATGTACGATCGTTAATAAATTATGGCAAAGTCTATTCAATAATAGTTGTGCGCGAGAGATCAAAATTACCCCTGGATAATGTCTATCATATCTTGGTATAGTGCCCGCTCTTTTCTCAACGAGTCAAATATTACTAACCGACTTGAGTTTAACTCAATGACAATGAGTATCCAGTGAAACCTGCATTGATTTATACACACACGTACATGCATATAAGTTGTATTGATATTACATAAAATGTGTAGACTACATTATTATTAACACTTACTCAAAGTTGTACGGGAAAAGTATTGTTGTCTTGTCGTGCTGCTTCACGAAGAACATCATGATATTCTCTTGTGCTTCAGATACCCACCGCTCCTTGACAATAATACCGGTTTTGAATACGATATAAGGATCAATGAAGCCAACACTGATGTCTTGTATTCTTTGGAGCTCTGACATCTAGAATCTATATATAAATATAAGTTACATGTGAGGATAATTATATACACGTACGCATGGAAGTGAGTTTATTAAATAAAAGTAAGAATCACTTACAAACAAAAGGAGCTAATGATTGATTTGTCCAGAGCGTCCATGTGGTATAGTTGATGCAATTCTTGAAACTAATATGTAAGATGTCATCGCCACGGAAGTAATGATGGTCTCTAAATCTGACAAAGATCCACTACTCACCCCTGCCACACGCTTTGCATGTACCACTTGTTGAGCAAGTATATTTATGCGTACCCAATTCATTCAGAGCCAGCGAGGTTGTAAAGACTTTTGCCATATTTATAAGTCTTCCGGTATCAACTTCCGTGTTCGGATTGGAGCTTTGCCGTCAATTGATCCAAGGTTAAACCAAAGATCTTCAAAAAAGCATTAAGGGCTTGAACCGACACTTCTCCGAGTTGTCTCGGTCGATAGACTTCTATGTTGGAACCATATTCATTAGCAACAACAAGATTTTACATTGGTTGCTTCATTGTCCGAGTGTGGGACATCCTTCCCCGATGCTCTTTTCCTTTTCTTATCTCGCATCATGTGACTTCATGAGGGAGCGGTCATAGTCGATAGTGGCGAAGGCTTACGAAGTTCAATCATCTTTTTCTTGTGAGCATCGACCTTCGCCTCAAAGACATCTCGTGGTATGTAAAAGTATGGCTTCTCCTTAAGCTTCGCTTGACTCTTGTTTTGATATCTATAAAAAAAATCTTTCACTTTTTTGTTTCTTCAATTTGCTATTTGCTTATTAGTCTTTTTCAGAAGTATTTCTTGAGAAATAACTCTTTTTCTCGGGGTCTTCTTTGCCACCGGGACCTTAGACGTCTTTGTAGTGCGTCCACCGTGGAGGGGTGGGCGGTGTTGGAGACCCATGTGGAGGCGATGAGGCCGGTGTTGGTGGAGACCGGCGTGGGCGGCGTTGGGAGATCGTTGTGGAGGTGGTGGGGCCGGTGTAGGAGTTGGAGATCGTTGTGGAGGCGATGGGGCGGTGTAGGAGTTGGCGCGATCGCCATGGGGATGAAGTCGTCTTGCCCCCATGACGCTGTGTGATGAGATGGGGAATGAATGATTAGGCTAGGCTGGGGGAGACCTGCTACAAAAAATAAGTTGTGTGTCAATTATTTTTGAAGCCAATAGAAAATTAATGGAAAATAATATTTCATTCACTTTTATTCGTACCTAGGGTGAGGTAGGGGAAGCGGTGGCGCCCAGAATGATGATGAAGCGTTTGCGCCATTGAATAAATGTCTTCTCTGCTTCTCCTAGTGTCTTCTCCCCATCACCGCCTTCAATGTCAA